GTTTTTCCTTGGAGGTAAGGATTTTTTTTTTAAATAAACTGGTTTATTTACAAAATTCAAATCATTGCTTTTGAGAAACTCTATCTCACATACTTTGGGCACTTGGCCAGAAGGAACCAGTCCTTGGAAAAGGACATTATGTTGAGAAGAGTGAAGGGACAGCACAGGAGAAGACCTCAGATGAGATGGATTGACACAGTAACTTGGGCAGTTGGGGTTAGTGTGTTGGGATCAGTGAGACTGGCTCAGGACAGGGAACAGTTCAGAAGTGTTGTACATAGGATCGCTATGAGTCACAGGCGACTTGATGGCACATAATGACAACAAACAATTACCTGCAAACTTGGGGAATATCATCTGTTTAGGAGTTAGAGACCGCCTGTATGTCTGAGCCCTGGAGCACTCGAGCAGGCCAGGGACAAGCTGTAGGACCAGATCCTCAAAGCCTGGCAAGGGTCTGCAAGTAAGGATTTCAGCCTCATTGAAAGGCGTCAGGCGCCTTCCTTTCCTCTCTCCTCAGGCTAAGGGTCCGTTTCTGCCAAGCTCCCGGTGGGTTGCTGGGAAGTCCATCAGCGAGTAGGCGGTGAATGCTCCTTGGGGCCATGACCTCTCTTGTGCTGGGCTCCAGTTGTCTACCCACCAACCAGGGGGCCAAAAGCCCCACTGCAGAGACAGAATGACCATTTTCTTCAACTATAAGAATGCTCCCCTTGTCTTCACAAGGAGTTATCCATGGAGGGCATTTTACTGGAAGATATTTCAGTAAAACCACCAGGCAGATGTTAGACTGTGTTCTTTATGAACCCTGCCGAGGGCTCCATATGAGCACCAGCTTCTCACCCCATCTGACAGGCTGAATGGGCTGGCATCGCAGGCCCACCACTCTCCCAAATAATTTTCACTGATTACTGAGGGGTCAGATGTAGTATCCTGTAATTCAATTTGGTTTAGAAGTTGGATGCTTATATGTATTTGGGCACACACACCAGAATAAGAATATCTTCTTCCTTTTTTCTTGAGGGGTGGTAGAGATTGGGGTGGGGACAAAGGAGGTAGGGCCATGAAAAAGAAAAAAGAATACAATGAAGACTAAAGTTTTCATTTCAAGGAAAATTAGAGAATGCCACATCCTCAGATAAAAACAGGTAGGGGAAGGATGTTACATATAATCTTAGAAGCAAAAGTTCATGAATTTGTACACCTTGGCAGAACTATACCACTAGACCCTTGTATCATGAAACGTAAATATGCATAATCTTGAATAATTAGGCAACTGTGGTCCCTTTAACTCAGTGTGATTCTGCAGGAGGAGACGGATAATAGTTCTTATAAGAGTCATAAAAGTTAAAAAATCTGACACCTTTGAGACTCATTTTAGGGGTTGTTGTTTTTGTTGATTGCCTTCACGTCAAGTACAACTCATAGCGACCCTACGAACGAAAGGCCTGAAGCCCCTCTACAACTCTCGACATTTATCAAAGTTCACAGTTTCCAGAGGCATGTTGTTTAGGAAGTAGATGCCACTATGTTTCTATGGATGACATTTTGCATAATAGGGTTGAGTACATGGAGAAAGGTACTTATTATTCTCTCATTGCTAACAAGCCAAAATAACTCAACCAGCAGGTTTTCAGAGGCTATCAATCACAGCTCTAGAGGAGACAGCCCATCTTCTCCTTCAGCTGGAGATTAGAGGAGCTGGAGGGTTAGAACCTACTGCCTTTGAGTTGGCAGTACAATTCCTTATTCACTAGGCCATTAGAGCTCAAACTCTAACACAGCATAACCAGGAAAACAGTAACAACTTCAACATCACTAGCACTCTCATCCATCGGTGTAGGGAAGTCCTGTGAAGCCATGTTCTTCATCTGGTACTTTTGAAAAACAGCAGGAGGGTAGCTAGGACTAAAGTTGGGTATGGAAACCCTGAGGTGCTAGGTGCACCCAAGACACAAGCTCCCTTTCTTGTTAATCACCAACATCGCATTCCCAACAAAGTGACACCTCCCTCCCTGCTCTGCTCGTTCCTGAGCCTGAGCTATGATTTCCCAATCACATCCTGAGCCGAAACCCAGGAGGACACACAGGAGCAGATCCAGACTTGCCGACTGCATAGAAATTGCACAAAGCTTGGCCCCAAACATGGAATAAAGTAAGTGTGCATGAAGTGCTGAACATTCCACGGAGGCCCGTGTCAGAGGAGCACTTGCCACCAGGGCCCCTCCCAGAGCCCTCAATTAAATGCCGGTTCTGTGCTACCAAGAGGGCATCGAACCAACAGCCAGACTTTGACTCTCCATCCTTTTGTGAGCCAAGACCCCTAGATCCCAACCCTCCTTCCCTCCTGTGTCCACCTTTCTCTAAGCAGGAAAAGAAATACTCTTGCCGGGGTTTTACACATTAACAGAAAAAGCCAAGGATAAAGCATAGCTCCATAAGCCAGAACTTTATTAAACTCCATGTTACATAAAAGATCATATAAATGGGCCATTAAATACATTCTGTTCACTTTAAACAAATTTATATAGAAATTTATTTACATTTCTCCATTATATACTTAAATTACTTTTCCAAGCTTACTACCGATAAACGGTAATAGAATGATCACCTGCTCACACAGATGCACACACAGAGGTTGTACACGGGGCTAAGAAAAACACCACTTTTGGGGGAGCTCAGCTTACTATTGGGTTTTAAACAACTCGTTCTGAAGGTGCTTTCTTCTGAACAGGCCTTTTTGCTGCATAGATGCTGGGGATTGGTTCTGAGGAAGAACCGATCCCAGGCAGAGGCGGGTGTGTGACTGGAACTGTGGGAGCTGGTAGGGACCTTGAGGATAGTCACTGTGGCCATGCCCCCAGTTCTGGAGACCAGAGGAAAGAAGCCTATGGAGAATCAGTGACTTGCTAAAGTCTCCCAACATCAGCAATAATGTGAGGTCCCTCCCCTTTTCACTATCCACAAACCCACAAGCCTATGACCTCATACACCCACTTCCCACCATGGAATCTTTTTTAGGTTTTATTCTGCTTCGTTAAGTTTTATGAATTCTTAGGTTTCTTCAGATGATGGAAATACCTACTCAGGGATGTTCTACAAAAGGTTATGATTAAATACTTCTTTAACCATAAAGTTTGCCTTTTCAATTTAGCTGACTTACAGAAGCTCAAAGTTTCCTACTAATTTAGATGGAATATTCTAGGAGTGACCGTATGGATTCAAGTAAGCCATATTTGCGTAAACCCATTAATCCTATTGGTCTAAAATGAGGTTTCACCAAAAAGTGCCAGGAGAGGGAGGGAATGGTAACTTTTTTAAAAAAATTCAAACTCATTTCTCCCACTTCCCAATTATTCTCAGATGGCTGTAGTAAAAATGGCCACCAACTGGGTAGGAAAAGTACATTATTTTCCCTTTTGAATGAAGCCTGACTTCTCTCAGAATTTTTCCTGATGATTCCAGAAAGCAAGTTTCTTTTCAATGTGGTTGTGTGTGTGTGTGTGTGGGGGGGGGGGGGGTTGGTTGTTTTTTTTTAAAGTTTTAGAAATCCTTTTCTTAGGGTGGATAAACCACTTTATCAAGGAACAGGTCCCTGAGTGACAAAAACTGTTCTCTAAGAAAAGGTTAGCAGATGGAACCAGGCCCCTGTGGTGCCCCAAAGGGGAGGCCCCGCCATCTGCTTCCAGACAGGAAAATCATATAAGGCAGCCTTGCTGTGTAGCTTATCGGGTCACCATGAGTCAGAATCAACAGCAACAAGGTTGGCTTGTTTTGTTTGTGTTTTGCTGGGTGGTGTTTTTTTTGTTTTGCTTTGTTTTTGGCGGGGGTAGGGGTTGGTTTGTACCAAGTATCAAACACCTACATTAAACAGCATTATGGTTAAAAAGAAAGTCTCCAGCTCACATTAGAGAATAAGAGGTAGAAGCCAAGGAGAGGTGAGAGGGAGAAGTGGAGAGGCGAGAAAACAGGAGAGACCATGAGCCATAGCCGCCTTCTCTGTTACAATAGACAGGATACACTGGTGGGAGACAGAAGCTGGGAGAGAGGTACTCGGGTGAATCACCTCTGTCACCTCTCCATTAATGTATGGCACTTGTAAATTCTGGAAAACCCAGTTTTCTAGTAGGAGCTAGCACCTGTCTCTAGGTGAGGCCTGCCCTGCAGCTAAAGGTCCAGGGCATCTAGGACCACCACCACACAACCTATGGGCTCCTGCCCCTCTGCCCTGGGTGTGTGCCTTGACCACACAGGTGGGGGAGCATCGGATTTCTGCCCCTTTAGTCCACCTCTTCCTCCTATTCACAAGCATGCCTTCATCCAAAGCTGCAGAGAACTGAGCTGGCTGGAAATTCTTCAAGGAGATGGAGCCAACCCCAGAACCTTGAGGGCTTGCTTGCAGGAAGTTCAGCCTCCAGCAATCCACGATGGTGTGTAGGTAGGTGGGATCCCCAGGGCCAGGAAGCAAAGGAAAATAAAAATCTCTTCATATTAAGGATATTCCGCACCCCCCCCCATCTTTCCCCTGGGGTAGCATTTCACTCTGTAAATGGAATAAACAAAAACATTTTATTTTCATAATATTAAAAATAAGTCTTTAACATATAAAAACTGGCCAGAAGTGGTTTGGGTTTTTTTTTTTCTCTCAATACGTAAGAATGTCATCCTACACTGTAAGTCTTTCGCAGGACCTTCGTTGTAGAGCTGGGGGCGTTGCTCACACATTCTCAGACGGCAGCCGGTGCTGGGTGTGTGAGGGAGGTGGTGCCCCGTCACAGTAGCGAGCATACATTCAGATTCGACAGCAGGAGTCGGGACAGCAGATCCCAGAGGCCACCACCTCCAGGCTTGTACCTTTAATGACCCGATCATTGGCAGGTGGCACCAGGGGATCACTGTATACGGAACAAAGACATTCAGTGTTGGCCTATTCCATGCCCCAGTCCCGGAAGCCGTTCTTCACCATTGGGAACCCAGGAGGCGAGAGAGGATGATTCAAACCATCATTTCCGCAAGGGGTTCAGTATCTTCCCTAGTGTGGTCCTCTTTGAGTCTTTCTGTCTGAAGGAGGCCCTCTCCCCGGACCCCCTGCCCTTCAGAGGTGCCTCTGCGCTGACACTGTTCCCCTCGGGCGACTCTGGGCCCTTCTTATGAGTGCGGGCACTACTGGCCCGCCGCAAAGGGCTGTCTTTGGGGGAACTGTCCTCAGGACCGCCCTTGACCCTCAGCTGCCGCTGTGAGACTGCCCGGGTGAGGCCAGGGGCTTTGGTACCAAGAGGCGTGTCAGTTCTCATGTACCGTGAAGAGGAGGCCACTGTGCTTCGAGCGAAGCTGGGGATGGGAGCCGGGGCCCGGGGGAGACTGGGGACCGGTGGTGGTGTCTTGGACTCTTCTTCAGGGCTCTCGGTGCCCTGAGGGTTGGAGCAGCAGCTCTTGTTTTCCTCCGGCTTCAGCCTGGGCACGTTCCTGAGGGGTTTGGCGCTGGGCTTCTTGAAAGAGCTCCGGGGTGGCAAGGTGGGCTCCTTCACCCGCCGGGTGCCACTGGGGCTGCTGCCAACCCGCTGGGATTTCTGCTCCTCGCGCAGACCTGCCGTGGAGCCCGTGGACTGCCGCCTGGGCGAGGTGTCCAAGGTCCCTCGCATGGAGTTCCGGCGAGATAGAAGAGTCTCTGTGCTGGGGGTCTCTCGGGGTGCTACCCGGGATGGCTCGGGCCGACTCCAGCCCCTAGTGCCCCTGCTGGACTTGGAGATGGGCAGGACCTTGCGCATAGTCTCGTTCTCAGAGGCGTGCAAGGTCCGCACAGGCTTGGACGGCGACCCTGACGTGGACCCCAGGCTCCTCCGGGTGCCGCTGGGCTTGGAGGTCTCCGGGGCCGACTCCTTGAAGGAACTTCTCTTTGGTACTATCACATCCTTACTTTTGGTGGCTCTGTCCTTGGGAAGCACATTCTTGGAGGGGGGCTCACTCTTCTGGGAAACCAGAGTGGGGGCCTCCTCGGGAGGGCTGGAGGCAGGGTTGGAGGAGATCTGGCTGGTCCCTGTCTCCCCAGCTCCAGAAGACACAGAGCCGTCCTTGTCCCCACTCTCTTCCGGCTCCTGAGTCCCAGGCCTGGAGTCAGTCTCCGAGCAGTCCAGGGTCAGGGAGCAGTCAGTGGTGTCTGAGATATACAGCAAAGGCCCCGCCTCCTTGTGTTCAAGGTCACTGCTACCCACAGACACCAAAGCCTCGCTGCTGGGTTGTTGGTCTGAGGCCGTTCTGCCATCTTCCAGGGCTGGATCAAGGCCTTCCCGGGAATCTGGACTACAGGGAATGAGACTTGGATCACTGGTATCCGGGGACTGGAGACTACCCTCCTGCAGAGGTGCTAGTTTCACGGGGCTGACATCATTCAGGACCAGCTGGGGCACCTCCACTGGGCTCCTAGATCCCTGCAGGTCGAACTGGGTTAGCCCCGTCACCAGCTCATGCTCCTTAATCTCCAGAGTCAGTGGTGAGTGCGGAGGAGACCGGCCCGGGTGCAGGCCCACAGGTTCACTGTTCCTCTTTCGAAGGATGCTGACGCGGCGCCTCACTCGGGGAAAGGCAAAATCCTCAGGCCGGGGGGCTGCAAGCTGGCACTGCCACACTGAGGATGGGCTGGAGGCTTCCACTTGGCCCTCTACAGCCTGAGGTCCGTGCGTAAGGTCGGACTGGGAGTTTTCAGGCTCTATCCAGGCTACTGTAGGCCGGGCCTGCCGGGGGCTTCTCCGGGGCAGGCTGTTGAACTTGGTGAGGTCCTCGGAGCTGTCAGTGGAGCCCTCCAGGAAGGTCAGCAGCTCCCGGTCAGCAGTGGCGCCCAGGGAGAGGCGGGAGCGGCGGGTGTTGGGGGGCCGGTAGGAGGGGCTGATGGGCCTAGAGTACAGGAAAGGGGGCAGATCCTCCGCACCCTTCTTGGTCAGCAGCTGCACATCATTCTCACTACTGCTCCGCCCAAAGCCCCCAAGCTCGCCCTCCGCCCAGGAACACCGCTTCTGTTCGAGCTCTCTCTGCCGCCGCTGCTGCCTCAGCTCCTTCACCTCCCGGTCCTGGTTGTCCTAAATGAAGAAAAGAAACCCACAGAAGCATGAGCCCTGGGAGAGCCCTGTCCAATTCTAGTCACCCAACCTATGAGCACAGGGAGAGCGGCATGCACAGAGGGACATCGAGTCCTGCTCGGCATAAGCCACACGTCTTTCACTGAGAAAGGCTGTGTGGACCTGTGTGCACATCGGATGAGTTGGGCTAAGTGCTCCCACCACCTGTGCCACCTCCCTGTAGCAGTGCACTGACGGTGTCCTGACCATCTGTCTAGACTGGTCATCTGATCCCTGGGACCCAACCTCCGCTCTCTAGTCAAGACATTCTTCCCTCAGTGTGGTCTGTGATGTCACAACTCCAAGGAAGCCCAAGTTAGTTTCTAAGCACAAGACAGAAGGCTTCTAAGAAAGCATGATGCTCTTCAGGTAGTGGCAGAGAGAAAACACAATGGGTGCAGAACAGTCCTTACACGTCGCATGGGTATGTGTTCACATACACATACGCACGTAATACATTCTACAATTTGCTCTATTTTCTTCTGGTGAAGAAACATCACAGTTAGCAGGGTGGCTCTGCCAACTGCCCATCAAAACCGAGGGGCTGCCACCCTCCTGCCTCACTCTGGGTTACAACTCTGTTCCCAAGAGGAAGGGGATCAGGCATGCTTTTTCAACTCCTTCTATCAAAAGATAGAAAAAGCAAACCCTCAGCTTCAAAGCACCATTTCTCTCCAACAAAACTTACCCCAAACAACCACACACACAAAGCAGATTTTACTGCACTTTAAATATATTTGTCTCATGCAAATATGTGGCTTTCACAACCCAAATCTGTTATCACTGGCACTTTTTTTACTAGAAAATCCATTTCCTCAAAAGGTGGAATTTCCCTGGCAAGTTTCTGGGAGTCTCTGGCTGGGCTCCCTTCCCCTACCTCTCGTCTCCTCCTATAGCCCTGGCCCCTGCTCCCCAAGCCTCCCAGGCCTTCTCCTTCCAAGGAGGCCGTGGAGGAAGGGGCTGTTCCTGGCTGTCAGGACAGCTGTGCTGACAGCATCATGCAGGTGGCCTCCTTGGCCTGCAGAGTTCTGAGTGGGAGTGAGGGCCTCTGAGCCAATTTGGCCTCTGCCAGGCCGCCTCCTCCCCAGCTGAGCTCACTGCTTGGACAGTGGAGCATCAACGTGGCCAGAGGCTGAGCCTCCCTCTCTCAGCTGGATGGAGAAACAAGGGTAGAGAAGTAATCTTGGGCTACTAATTCAAGGTTTGAGAGACAGCCAACAATCCTAAAAGACGTTCCATGAAAAGACAGATCTACATTTAAAATACAGGAACGAATAACCCACTAGGTGTTGGCCCCTTCTCACCGCTGAAACGAAGAGATGTATGTGCTACTCTGTTTTAAAAGGTAGGTAAGCATATAATTTGCAAAATCAAGCAGCTCAGAGTGTTTTCTGGCATCTGTGCTGAACTCGGTTACTGGAGCAGGCAGTTGTAAGTGCACACTGAGCTCAGCCTAGGGGCAAGCTCCAAGACCATGGGAAGGCAAAGCCGGTGCTGACTGCAGACAACATGGCCTTACATGAGAAGACTGTGATCCAGTCCTGGTGCTCCGGGAAGACAGCATCTTTTGATCAATGGGTCTCAATAAGTCTCACTGAAAGAAGAAATTTTCCTCTAAAGCAGGGAGACAAGAAATATTCAAAAGCACTTTTAAATATTATTACTGTCTCCCTAAATAAACTTTACTAACAAAATGCTTTTAGAGAATTAGTGAGGGGGATGGTATGAAGAACAAAGGCACTTAGGGAGCCAGATGCCAGACTCCTGATGCTCTGGGAGCCCTTGGGCCGGGACAGCCGCTTCCCAGTTGAGGGCCTGGCCCCACTACCGGGGCCAGGCTTTCTGCAACCAATCACCGAACCTTTTTTCTGTCACAAGCCTAGGAATGGGCAAGAAGAAGACAAAGAAAAATCCAAACTGTGGAGAAAGAGAGAGAAGGTGCCATGGGCCGTACCTTAACTGCCTTGTTGAATTTGGTACAAAAGTCTCTGAATATCTGCAGACATTCATCCAGTTTCATGGTTTCTTTGTCTTCACAGAAAAAATCTATAAGGGTGTGAGCCTCGTCCTGCAGCTCCAGTTTCCAGTGCTCCAGTTCAGACAGCTTTTCCAAAGCAAACTGCAGGCAAACAAACAAGAACGCACTGAATAAACAGGGTCAGCGGAGCGGGCGCTTGGCCTTGCTTTGGGTGTCTGGGAAGACATGGTCTCTGGGTTCAATTTCAGGTCTCAGAAAAAAGGGAGGGATTATTGCTAGGCTGGTGCGCTCTAAGCCAAAAAGAACTTTACCCAAGCAAAAACCTCAGGGAAACAAGGTGAAGCCCTTTGGTGTGAGGGTTAGAAGAAAAAGATTCTGGAGCTTTAACCTGTAGAATGCCACCCGCAAATTATTTCAAGTCACTGAAAAGCTGCATTGGTGTACAGCTGTTGGTTTATTTACGAAGGGAGATTCGGTCTCTACTCTCCTGTCTCTTTAACCCTGAGTTTTGCACTGCGACTCATTTGTATTTGACTGCTTGCTGCTAAGGTTGATAGTTCAAGAACACCTACTGGTGCTGCAAAGAAAGGTCCTGTGTCCAAGATCGCAGCCAAGAAAACCCTGTGGAGCACAGTTCTGCCCTGTAATACACAGGGGCACAGAAGTCAGTGTCTCTGACAAGTCAACTCTGCCAAGGGATTTTAGAACTTATTCTCAAGGAGACTGACCAGGATCATGTGCCAATCCCAAAGAACTAAACCAAGGCCCAGGCTAGGGCTTCCTAACAAGACAGGGTTGCTTTACTGAGTGAGCAGAGGCATTTTCTTAACCGTCACATGCTTGCATCCCAACTACAAAGCTTAGTGGGTTTGGGGTGTTCCCAGACCACTGTTATTAAATTCCCCTAGTGATTCCGGTGCGTATTCATAGTTAAGGTAGGTTACAGGCCATCCACTTTATGTCTTGATTTTTCTCTCAATGCCTCATGCACATGCATCTCCAAGGCCCTTGAAGATTCTGGTAGTGCCTCCACACCATCAGAGACACTTGCCTGGGTCCAGTGTGTTCCCAGTCCTTTCAGGATGGAGATCCACCAAATGCACGGGCCACACACATACTTCCCTGACCTCGGTTCAGTGACACACAACTTGCTGAGCTGTGACAAGTGGTGGCTGCAAGGAGGATGCCCCGGCAGCCCAGAATACCAACATCTTACGTTTTCTTTTTCATTGGGGATAGAGCGCATACAAAAGAAGCATTTTACTTTATGAAATCTCATGTATCAGGTTTTAAAAGGTTGCTTTTTGAAAAACTGCATTTTGGGTGGAGAAGATGGACCCAGGAAATGGCTACGTTACAGGATGCTTTCTTTTGGGGAGACCTTGCTGCTTGGAGAGCAACAGACCCTGAAGAAAATTCTGGGTAAAACTCCTCATGGCCACCTCCTACCCATGTCTACACAAAGTACCCCGTAAAGGTCTTTTCCGTACCAAACACATTCAAGAGATGGTAAGAAACCAAAACTATTTAGGAAACCAAATACCAGAGAAAGCAACCACCTGAGTCAGTCGCCCAAGGCAGTGTGTGCCTTCATGCTCTGTTTTTCTGTATGGGGAGCAGGGTATTAACGAAAGGATAAATCTTTGCCTGTCATTCTACCACAGGGGGAAGGGTGGATTCCAGCCAAGAACAGCTCAACTGCAGAAAAATAGAACTCCTGACAAGAATCTACATGGAATCCTAGCTCCACCTCGGATGTCTCATCTCAAGATCCTGGGGGGATTGATGGAATACGAGGGAGGAAAAAAACGAAAGACACAGGAGGAGCCCTCAGACTCGGGGAAAATGGAACATTCTGAATATGGAACTGAACTGAATCTCAGACTAATTTGTTCAGGGTTAATTTTCCAAATGTTTTTCCTCTAATCATAGCCACACGCTAAAAAAGTCAAAGCTACACAAGAAAGGCAACAGCTAAGGCAACAGATTCAACTCTGCAACATCTCTCACTGGTCCGGCAGGGACCAAAGTCACAAATCAATTTACAAAGTACTTCTTCCCAAAGGGTTAAAATTTGGACTAGATCTTTAAAAAAAATGCATTCCTGTCATTTTTCTGCTAAAAAAACCTTCAATGGATCCCAACTGCTTTTGGACATGGAGACCAAACTGCAGCCCGGCAAAGGAGCCCTTCATGGACTAACCATAGGCTACCTGAGACGTTCCACCTCCATCAGTAAGAAAGAAGGGAAACAATTTGGCAAGATAGAGAGTCTTATGAAACATTTTATCTACAAATATGAAAATGATTATTGGAAGTTTGTAAAAATTTATAAAAATGTTCCTTTTGATGGACACCTTAGAGATGAGACTATATATAGCACACTGCTTCAGCATAAACCTTTCTGCATGCATATTTAAGATATTAATGCTTAATATAACAACCTGTAGGAAGGAAACACCCAAAATTCTGGTCTTGGTGTGTCACAGCTCTTATTCTTCAATCTTCAGATTCGTTTTAGATGTCTGAATATGCTTATGGTTAAGACGTTCATGATGGTGGTGCTAGCTTTGTTCTCACCTTGAGGAAAATTTGAGCACTTTAAGTGGAAAATGAGTGTGTGGATATATTGGAAATAAAATATAAAGCATGATTAATAATAATCTCACATACTTGCTTTGACAGCACATATATTAAAATTGGAATGACACCAAAAAGATTAGCACGGCCTCTGCATGAGGATGACACAGATCTGTGAAGCATTCCATATTTAAATACTGTTGTTGTTGTTGTTGAAACCAACACATAGCTGACCCTCCAGTGGGTTTTAAGAGGCAGTTAAGTGGGAGGAGACTGCCCTTCCTTCTCGCGTGGAGCAGCTGGTAGATTCGAACCTCGTGCCTTTGGGATTGCAGTACAGTTTCTTACCATAATACTACTATTACTAACATCACAGCAAAGCCAAAGCAAAATCAAATGTTTGCTGGCAGGAGCTACCACGCAAGCTCTTTGGCTATAGCTTCATTATGAGTTAAGGCACCAGGTGGGAAGCACACTATACCTCCCAGTGTGAAGAGCAGCTCTGTCAGATGTACTCCACCTCACAAGCCTCAGAGAGCCATAAGAAAGCACAGTTCACTGAAGACTAAGAGCGTGAAACAGTGCCACTTTTTTCTAATAAGCAAGATAAAAGCAGCATGTCAGACTATGTAATTAGTGAGTCACAGTGAGCTGTCACAAACATGTCCACTCTGCTGTTTTTCTGTTGATGTTATTCGGAGCGGCTCCTGACACACCCTGTGAGGCTAATGCATTTGGGGTGTTGATAGGCACAGCTATCGTGTGTTCTTCTGCTCTCACTATAAAACATGCCAAAACGTAGCTTGCTTCTTCAATGAAAAACAAGCGAAGGCGTTAGCAGCCAAGGTTCTAAAGTGTCTTGAAGGTTTCTGTGGAATTTCACTTCATTTTCCAAAAGTATGGCTGAGAGACAGGTTTAAAACCAAAACTTGAGGCAGAGACCAAGCAGAAGCCCCACAGGATGATAGCAAGTCACTCACTATGATAAACATATAAATTGAACAGTGATAAACAAAAGCTTAGTCCATAAGCTAAGTGCTTAGTTTTAGATCATATTCAATACGGTTTTAAAACAAAGTACTAAGCCATGCTCTGCTAAGAATGAGCACTGAATAACAAAGTTCCTTTGACATCCTCATGAGGAAAAAACATGAATGGGAACCTACTTCTTCCACAAACACACTCAAGGAAATATAGCCAGCCTTGGTGATATTGCTGGGAGGTGAGATTAGAGGGACGGATCTGAGTCACCCACAAACCTGAAGGAAAGCTTCCATCTGCTGACAAAGTTCTCTGTCTCGCTGGATGTTTTCCCGGAGCGATCTCGTCCTGACAGTCAGCGAGTGCAGCTCTGCCTCTGTGCTATCCAGAGATAATCTAGAAGAAGAAAGGGCAAAGTGGGCAGGTGCCACAAGGTAATCCTGTGTCATATGAGCACATCAAACAGGACCATTGCTGGTCACCCTCAGAGCCAGTAGGTGGGAGCTTCTGTCATGGCATTTATCTACCCCAGTCCTCAGATCGTGTGAGCATCTCGTTGTGTTTTCTTAAGAGGCGAATCCTTCAGAAACACATATCAGAGTTCAAAGAAAGCAGGCTGTAGCTTTGCTCTTGCTAGTGAGATAACTAAAACCCGTGGGACTTGTAATACTTTTCCTAAATAGGCCTGGGTAGCATTAAAACTAAAAGCCAGCAGGACTCTGGGATACTTGGACTTTTCTCTGGCCAGAAAATACAACTGAAAACAGTAACCTGAAAGAACCAGAAATCAAGGCAAGAGGTGGTGGTGATCCTGATACAAAGTGCGCTGAGGAAATGCAAGCCCCAGAAGTCTCCCACTCACCACCCCCAGCGAGGGCCAGCACTCTAGAGGTATTTTATGGAGAACTAAGAACTATCAATTCTTCAATGAAATAGAATTTACTGTAGAGCTTTTGTTACCTATACCAAATCGTGACAATAGAACATGAATAATGTTTTATCACTCAGTCAAGTGAACATGTGAAATCTAAAATCCCAGGGGCATTCAACTAGAAAATTCACAACTAGGATGCATCCATGCTTCTATTGTAAAATCTCCATTTCCTTTGTACAAAACCATCTTTGACCTTCATTGACTATTAGTGCCCATCTATTATCTGTTTGTACCTCACCATGTATTTCGAATATTCCTATTAATTCCTTATTAATTGATTTCTTATACGAGAATATGCAGTAAAATTTTCCTTCATCTAGCCAGAAATGCCAGTTCAAAAAGTTTTAATGATCCTTTCTCTTCATATGGCTCTTTGGAACATTTCTATATTCTACAAGTCAGGGACCTCTCCAAATTACTGAGAAGCATGAATGTCAGTTTGAAGACTAAGGTGTGCCTGATTCAGGCCATGATCTTTTCAATCACTTCCTATGCATCTGAGAAATGGACAATAAATAAGGAAGACAGAGGAAGAATTGATGTCTTTGAGCTGTAGTGTTGCAGGAAAGTACTGAATAACCCATGGACTGCCAAAAAAACAAACAAATATTTCTTGAAAAGAGTGCAGTCAGAGTGCTCCTTGGAGGCAAAGATGATAAAGTTCTGCCTCACATACTCTGGGCAAGTTGTTAGGAAGGACTGTTCCTTAGAAAAGGACATCATGCTTGGAAAGGTGGATTGGCAAAAGCGAAGAAGACCCTCAACCAGATGGATTGACACAATGACTGCTGCAATGGGCCCGAGTGTGTCAGAGATGATGAGAATAGCACAGGATAAGACAGGGCTCAGATCTGTTGTTCACAAGGTCACTATGAATTGTACTCAACTTGATGGTATCTAACAATACAATAGTTAGAGTAATAACAACACAATAGACCATGAAAGATGCTCATTATTTTTTTTGGAGAAGAATGTGGTCATCAGTAAACAAGAATTCTGAACTCTTTACCTCTTTAAAATTATAATCTCACCTTAGGGCAGGCACGTGTATGTTGCTGTTGTGTACTGTCTAGTTGGCACCAACCAATAGTTGACCCTCCAGCAGGTTTTCAGAGGCAGTAAATCTCACAAGAGGAGAATGCCCCTAAAGTCACTAATCTTGAGTCACTGGCCACTAAATAAAATCTCCAGGTTGTTATTGTTATGTGCCATCAAGTCACTTGCTACTCATAGTGACCATATATACAACAGCTCTGAATCCTGCCATATCCTGAACCAGTCTCACTAAGTAGACACATCTAATCCCATCGCACCAGTCATCAGGTCAATCCATCTCATGCAGGGCCTTCCTCTCCTGTGCTGTCCCTCCACCCTTCCAAGCATGATGTCCTTCTCTAAGCACTGGTCTCTCCTGGCCACATGCCCAAAATATGTGAGACGGAGCTTCAAAATCCTTGCCTCCAAGGGGAAACTTAGTTTCACCCACTCCAAGACAGGAATTAAAATAGTTGTCTACTAACTGCAAGGTTAATCGTTCAAGTTTACCCAGAGCCACTCTAGAAGAAAGGTTAAGTGATCTATGCTCCCAAACTCAGCCACTTTATAGAGGACGCTTCTACTCTGACATACAAGACATAGCCACGAGGCAAAACTGAATTTATAGTAATTGGTTTTAATCTTTGGCCAGTGGCAGGTGAAAGTTTAAAAGTTACTGTTTCTTAGACAGGCAGAGAGAGTGAACAACAGTATTAGGGAGGTGCTCATTCCTTGAAATAATAAACCAGATGTATTGTGTTGTTTTGTATTGTGTTCTCTTTTGTGTTGAATTTTTTTGTAATTCCATGTAGTGTCTTCTCTGTTGTGTTGTGTTCTTCATATCAACATCATAAATAGTATCTGGTTAAAAATTGTAACACCACGGAGGAGCCAAGTTGACACATGTTAACATTGATGGAAACTATATTAGGTTTAAGAGAACCTCAGTATTGTTTCTTACAATAATCTGTGAATATAATTTAATTTTTAACATTTTAATTTCCATGAAAGATTGATATTTTTATGGGTTTTTCATTTAATCATTCATACTATGTTATTTTATAATATTAATTACAATTAATGAATGAGAAACAAATTCAAGCCTCAAGTTGCAATAAAAAAAAGTTATTGTTTCTATCTGCATGTGGTTCACATTTGTCACTACTCTATGTAGACAAACAATAAATATATGAATTGAATATTGACATGGTGCTTCCAAAGACAGCTCACAAAAGTCAATTATGAGCAAATCTTTCTGCTTTAAATCAGTCAGCATAGTATTTACCCCATGGAAATTAGCAAATGCTACAAATCGGTCTGTTTTCGTTTGTGTTTCCTAAGAAAGACCATTTACCACTAAACATATGGAAACATACTTAAAAAGCAGAACTCAGAATAGCAAATACTCACAGACTGTTGACCACATTAAAATGTACATATTTAACGTGCTGCCTTCGAGCCCCCAGCATGCCTGCCTGTGGTGTGAGGGTTAAGCTGCCGTGACAGAGCATGAGTTTGTGCATAGTTGGGGCCCCAGCCTGCTGCAGGTGGCTCTTTTAATCACCAGCGACATGGGGGAAAACCCATACATATTTATTTGGGTCAGAACAAATTAGAGTGATATAAATGGAGCTTTATGTTGGGTAGATAGTCTCTCTATAGAGTTGAGTAAATAATTTGAGGAAGGAAAAAAAAGCCCAACAAAAACTTTTCACTGCTCTTGGTAAGGTTCCAATTCTTTCTCATGCAATAGAAAGTAAATGTACCATGTTAGATTGTAGAAGGAAACAGTGATTTATGGCCCTGGAAGTTTGACTGATATATAACAACTCCCAGGGTAATAGGCGGTGTTGTTAGTGCTCTATCTTTTGGGTGTGGAAGGATTTAAAGTTCTTAATCTGTATGTTATTTTACTCCAGAGATATTTATTAGGATAAACTGCAATAGTTTTCTTAGACAAAACAAGACAAACCCCACTAATTTTTAAAAAGCCCCAAATTTCAAAGACATGCACACACCTCAGTAAGCAAATGAAGAGATCTGAACTTCATCAAGACAAAACCTTCTCCAGTTTCAACTTGGCCCCAAAAGTTATAAATGTTCTCAAGTATTCACAAGGCAGTCTAAACCCCTCCTTGAATCCTCAAAAATTCATTTGTCGTCCTTTTTTGCTTACCTAGCAGCCTCCTGCACGTGATACAATTTTTCCGAAAAATTTAGAAGAATGGTATCTTTCTTTTGAGCCTCCTGGAACAAAATCAGAATTTTCTCATTATATGAATAAACTGGAAGCAAATAATTTTTCGAGGGATTAAAGTTGCTGTCCCCATTTTTATGCCTGGTGTATTCAAAGCCATGTACTGAGACATGAACTTTGATAACCTCGGTAAGATTACCAGAGCTGCCTACTCTCGAGATACATTTAATTTCCCAGAGCAATTTATCCCGACATGAAATACAATTCATGTGCATTACAATTCAATAGTAGGAGGGGGCAGCTTAGCAGGGCCCATTGTTTCCAAGAGAATCCAATATATCCTGCTTAAATACCACCCATACCTAGGAGCCCGCCTTTAAATGATCAAGATACCTTCAGCTGCTAAACCTGTTTTCACACTGAGTTTAATCAGAAGGTGCATATGCCATGGAAGTATCTAGATTCTTCACCTTGTCAAAGGGTTAGGTTCTCCCATTGCACACAGGAAGGACCAAATTACTAAGGAAACTTGCCTAGATGGGCAGGGACCAAATGACACAGAGCGACTGGACACGTGGATCTAAAAGAGCTCTGTCAGAAAAGTCTGGATAAAGAGAACACCTCTTATTTTTAATGTACCACCAATTAACAAATCAGTGGGCTATACATATCATCAGTCTTGTGCAATTATGCTGAATAATGGTACCTACTATTTATGAAGCACTTACTGTTGTCCCAACAGTGAGCTGTATGGAATTATCTCCTACAGTCTGCTCAGTTATCTTATTGTTGTGTACCAGTTATCACTCCTTCCCTGTGTGGTGTAAACGGTTTATATGCTAGACCGCCAACTGAAAGGCTGGTGGTTTGAGTCCACCCAGGCCTCAGAAAAAGACCTGACACTCTGCTTCCATGGGTCACTGGTAGCTTCCAGAAGCAAGCGTGGTGACGCATGTAGGATTACCTGAGTGGAGTCAACCGGACAGCAACTAGTAGTACCCTCAAACTCAAAACTCATTGTCATTGAGACGGAACCAATTAAACGCTCACAGCTCACCTTCCAGTGGGTTTTCTGAGGGTGTAAATTGCACAAGATGAAATTGTCTTGCAGAGTCACTGGTGATTCTGAACCATAGGAGCAGCCCCACCTTTGGGTGAGCAGTGCAACTCCCTAAGAACTATGCCACCAGAGCCCCCTCTTCTCATTAAAAGTTGTAGAGATGGAGGGCCCTAGAGTCACCTGTGTGTGGGTGCACAGCCAATGAAAGTTAAAGTCAAAATCTGCTTCCAGTTCTGTCGTATTCAAAGCTCACATCTGTAACACCCTACAGCACTAATTCCCCTTCAAATCAAAGCTTTGTGTATGTGATGGATGTTAAAACAAGTTGATTCAACGAAAAATTAAATCAGTACAGTAAGTTATAACAACAAACATATAACTGTCCTTGGTTGATTTTTCCCTTGGTAATTAGCTAACTTTCTATCACATAGGCTTTATTAAAAGAAGGAAGTGATCTTTTTCAATTGCTCTAATTCACCAACTCTTTATACATAACTGGTTCCAAATCAAGTCAATCTGGTATCAGGAATGCTTTTATAACCAGTTTTCTCTTCTCCATCTCTATAAGCATTTATGTTCTTCACATCCACCAAACAAAGCAAACTTCCACTGCACAGTATCTCTATTTCAAGCTCTCACTCTATTCCAACTCACCTCTCCATCCTGCCTTATTTGCCTAAGCAAAACTTGCTATGCTATTATGCTGTACACAATCTTGCACTGACTTCCCATTGCTAAAACATGAAATTCAAATACCCCCAGCTTTGACACGAGTCCCCCATGATCTGGTCCCACCAATTCTCTACTTTCCTCCCCATCTCCTCCACCCCCATAAGGCATCACTCAACTCAGGAATGTGCAAGTAGTGCTTCTGCAAACTGATCCTTCCTGGAATACACAGAGGCCTTTCCTAACTTTGTTTAATGCCCCCAGTATGCCCGGGGCAAAGCTATCTCCATGGAGGACTCACATACATTCTCTCTGTACTAAACCTTTCCACATACCTGTGCCACAAAGTGCAGAAGATTCATCCCTGGTTTGTTAGCTTTTGTGTCTGCCAATTTGAGTAAAGAAGACAGTTTAAATCCCACGGCATTGCCAGCATACCCTCCCTAAAGAAGACAAATCAAGAGATAATAAAAATTATATATATACACACACATATATACATTTATATATTTTTAAGACAAATACAGAAGTTTAAAACCTGGTTTGTTTGTTCTTTTTAAATTTCACTTACTGCATTCATGATATTTCCAGCCTGGAGCACCAAATGTAATATAGAATGCAGCTCCTCACACGACATCAACTCTGTCAAGAAGAACATAATTACAGCAGCTTAGAGAAGGGCTGAGCTCAAAAGATGCAAAAGAAACTACCACATCCAAGCTTAAGTGTGTCTGAAGCAAACGCTGACCTCAAACTGCCCACAAGGGCTGAAAACACCATAAAACCAAGCAGCTCATTCTCTAGGGTATCTAACGGGCCATGTGCTACCAGAAACCTTGTCCTAGTGATCAATTGGAAATAAAATGTGTATGGCAGTGACATTATCACCAAACATGTCAATGCTGAAAAGTTTCAAACAGTGAAAAACACACAAGCCTAATGAAAAAGCAACAGACTGCAATAAAGGAGCAACTTCCTTTGTTATATTCACACACGTATATTTTCCCCTTGACAGACCGAACCTCTGAGGCTGTATTTACAACACATGAAAACAGATAAAGAACAACATTTTGTTCAGCCACTGAGATGTAAGTTGGCAAATTAAAGGAATAAATAAACTGGTTAGGCTGGCATGTAAATAACTTGCAAAACTAATCTCTGAGGTCTGCATAATCTATTTCATTCAAAATATGCACTTCACCTGGATTGGCTGAAGGTTCTATATTTGGTAAATCAATTTTTAAAACACACAAAAAAATTTAACACTTTTACAAAGAAAGAATATTAAATTTTTAAATTTATTTAATAAATTATAAAAGAAAAACCAGTGATTAAAACTTCAGTATTCAAAACTACACACTTCATTTAAACTGGCTTAAGGCTCTGTAATATATTTTTTGTAAACTAATTTTTAAAAGACCACATTTTTTAGTATCCTTGAAAAAAAAAGAGCAAAATAATTTTTTAAATTTTATTTATCAAATTAAAAGGAAAAACCAGTGATTAAAATGATAGTATATATAGACAGTCAACTATGCTACCTTAAACATAACCATAACCATAACCATAACCATAACCTCTCCTTTAAGTCTAGTATTACTTTTTTTAAAAAAATTGTTGTTGATTGCCTACATTACATTATCTAGGAAGGCCAGTCTTTGAAGGGTTACCCAGATAAGAAATGGTTTTTATGCCACACCTACAAATTTGCACTACTTAATATAAAAACATGGTTCTCTCGCTATTTGACCAGGAGCAACAATCTTTCCAAAGGTGCCTACATAAATCTTCCTGTAGGAAGAAATTTAAAACCATCTCTAAATTGAAAGAAGAAAAATTCTTACTTCTAAGACTCTTTCCTAAAGTGAAGAAAATATGATGGGCTAAGGAGAACCATTTCATCTCCACACAGGGCAAAGCAAATACACAGGAAAGCCAAGTCGGAATAAATAATTCTACAACAATGACTAGAAATCCATAAAGTGACAGAGGGGAAATCAGGCTGCACTGATGACTGCAAGAGAGTAGGAGGGTCAGAAGATTCTCCCAGAGGTGGAAGGAAGGCAAATGCAAAGGTCCTGGGCCTGCTCTCTCAGTGTTCTAAGTGACAAGACCAAAGCTTCTTTCCCTCTGGAAGAAGGCACTGGGGCCACTCTGAGGGGAGTCTGTCCAAGCTGGGCAGACATTAGCTTCCCAGATGTGTGAGTCAAGGGGAAGCACGTGTGACAGAAGATCACAGAGGACAAGGATCAGGAACCTGGGCAGAAGGGTGGCTGTGAAAAGTCAGGGGCGAAGGGAGTCGGCTACGATAAAAACAAAAGTCCTGGTGGCCCACTGGTAAGGAGCTGTGCTGCCAACCCAAATTCAAGCGGTTCAAATCCACCAGCTGCTTCAAGGAAGGAAAATGGGCAATCTCCTCCTGTGGGATTTGATAGTCTCTGAAAACTCACTAAATGGTCAGCTTTGAGTTGTTTCTCATGTAACTGCATACAATAATAATCAAGAGAGCTCAGAGCAGAGGAGCAGAGATGGAGGTGGCCCAGGAGCTACATTTGCTGTTGTCACCAGCTGCTGTCAAATCAATAACTCAGGTACAGTGGAATAAAATGCTGTCTGGTCCTGCATCATCCCCACAGTCATTTGAGGCAGAGATCATTTGAGATTCATACTGTTTTCACTGGCTGATTTTTAGAAGTAGATCACAAGGCATTCTTTCCTAGTTTGTTTTAGTCTGGACGCTCCACTGAAACTTGTTCAGCGTCATATCAACACACTGGAGATGGTGGCTGCACATGGTGCATTTACCAGTAACCCAACCTATATATTTCACATGCGAGGTGAGAGGTCAACCACTAAACCAGTGCCCAGCTCTATCCAACCCCACACACTACACACTACACACACACACACACGCCTTTCACTCAGACAGAAAGGCAGCCTAGGAGAGGAGCAAGAAAAAAAAAACACATTACCAGCAAGTCTACTCTGCAGCTTGAGATAAAAGGAATTTCTTATAGAAAGGTAATATATAAATTAATATTCATTACGGGGGGAAGACATTAAAAGCCACCCTCCTATCATCGCATATCTCTTTTTAGGGCATATTAGAAATGGGTCTCTTCATTTCCGATTTTACTTGAATAGTCTTTTCAACCAACTGCTGTCACAATACATGAAAGCAGATGTAAGATTCTGTATTTACTGACCTTTCGTAGCAGTTCTTAAAATTGTTATGTCTGTGTATAAAGAAGAACAAGAAGGTACAAATTCCTTCCGTAGCACCATGGCTTCAATCCGAAGTGAGTAACTGAAAGATAAGTATTTTTAAAAATTAAAATGAAGTACAGAAGTCAATGTCAGTAATGTAAAAATCATACTGGGGACAGTACAGTGATCAGTGATTGTATCCTTACTTTGGCACCTGAATTAAGTAGTGCAGAAAGGAGTCTGCCAGCGACAGTTTGGACACATCTCCAGTAAAAGCTTTTAATTTCTTTATCTACAAGAGAAATGAAAAGGAAGCAGAGAGATAAAATAATTTAGGAACAATGTGAATGAAGGAATGTGTGACATACAATGTATGTGAATGGAAAAAAAAAAACCTTTTAATGCAAAAAAGTGACAATAAAATTTAATAATTTAGGAATAGAATTGAATATTTATTCTAAATTTCATTGTAGAATTCTTCTAAGAAGACAAGTTTTTACCGCAAAATAAATTGTAAGATGCAGACCTAAGAATATCATCATCATTTTGTTTCTATAAAAGAAAAAATACAAAAATACACCCTGACACACAAGTTTAAAAGAGATGGTAACTGATGGGGTACTCATCCTCCTTGTCTTTAAACTCATTCAAACAGGATGAAGTAACACGTGACACTGTCCCATAGGGTTTCCAAGGCTGTGGACTGTTACAGAGGCACCGTCATGGATTGCTCCAGCAGAGCAGCTAGTGGGTTCGAAATCCTGACCTTTCAGTTAGCAGCAAAGTGCTTAGTGACTCCACTAGCACAGCTTGTTGCTGTTAGGTGCCATCAAGTTGACTACCACTCACAGCAACAGATGAACCACAGATCTGAGCTGCGCCTCTCCTTGCACCACCTTCACGCTCTCCAGCATACTTGAGCCCACTGTTACAGCCACTGTGTCAATCCATCCTCTTGAGGGTCTTCCCCTCTTTCTCTGACCTTTCCTATCATGATGTTCTTTTCCAAGGACTGGCCGCTCCTGACAACGAGGCCAAAGCATGTGAGACCAAGTTTCCCCATCCTTGCCTCTGAGTGCCATGCTTACACTTCCTCCAGAACAGGTCGTTTTGTTCTCTGGGCAGTCTGTGGGATATGTAGGGGACTGAGCCATAGTGGGATATTCAGGAGAAGAGTACTGAATATCCCATCATGGCTCAGTCCCTTACAAATCAGAGAGCTGGAGCCCCTAGAATTCTCAAGGATGGGACTAAAAGGAGAGGAGTGGAAAAAAAGGATCAGCTCTACAGATGAAAACCTTCTGTAACTAATAATCCGAAAGGGATGATTGTTGTTTGGGAGAAGAGAGAAAAAACTGTACAGTCACCATATCACAATCCTTTAGGTCATAAGCGGGGGGGGGAACTCCTATGACTTAGAGCATTTTGGTTACAAAATAATTGGACTGGGTAAAGTCTAAGCAGGCCTCCTCTCCCTGGAATTCTACTTCACAGATCCAGTTCCACAGGAAGGGACTATGAAGGAAGTACACTCCGGCTCTCCACCAGAAAGAGAAAAAGAACCAATAAAACGATTGAATGAATCCTTTGAGAAAAAAAAAAGCTGATAATAAAACAGTATGTAAAATAGGATCTCATTTCTGAAAATGTTTAAAAGTGTCTATTGCCCTGCCCCCTCCAGTGGCCCAGTGGTAAGAAGCTGTGCTGCAATCCCAAAAGCTCTCTGTTCAAACTCACCAGCTGCTCTGCTGGAGGATGGGCAACTACTTCCTGTGAGATTAACTGCCTCTGAAAACCTGCTGGAGGGTTGGCTGTGGGTCTGCTCTGACCCAACAGCACACAGCAGCATTGTCCCCCTGCACTCACCACATATACAGACAGGAAGAAGACAAAAAGCCAGTAAGGTCAGAGGGCTCAAACTCAAAACTCATTACTGTCCAGTCAGAATCTACTCACAGCTAGCCCTCCGGAGGCTTTCCCAAGGCTGTAAACTACACAGATGGAGAATGTCTTTCTTTCTCTTAAATAAGAAGCAGGTGGATTTGAACTGCCAAAAAGGCATGGCCCAAGGGAATTATACCACCTGAGCTCCCCAGATGACGGTGACTATTACTTTTCTAAAATGTCTACAGTGGACATGTAGATATAGATATTACCTTTATAAATAATTTAACTAAACTAGCAGTTATTAACACAAATATCTGTTTAGCTGTAGTAAAGGGTCAAAGAACGTCTGACATAGACATCTAACTAAGCAGCTAGCAGGTGGAGGCAGGGGCAAAGAGGTCCCTACTTCCCACCCAGAAAAGTCCCCATACTGTGTCACAAAGAAAACTGGATCAATCCAAAACAAGAACAATTTAAGCTCACTGTAACAGACACTCCTGCAACAGAAATACACTTTGTGGTGATCTGTACCTTAAAAACCACAGTAGGTTATACAGCCCATTGTTACCGCTAGCTGTTACACTTTCCACTTTTTATTATTCTTGGTAGAGCTTAACTCTCTTTCTCCCATAAAAATAACACTATTTTTAAGTCTTGAAAAATAGGAAACAGAACTTCAAAACTATAAAGGAGCAAGTATTTGGAAAGACTCACAGACTGAAATAACACATCAATTATCTGAAAATAAAAATAGAGAACAGTGCAAAATCACACCGAGTATTAAGTGTGGGTCATAAACCACTGCTACTGAGTTGGTTCCAACTCTCAGAGACTCCACGGGACAAAAGAGAACTATCCCCTGGGTTCCCGAGGCCGTAAACCACTACCTGAGCAGGGCTGCTCATCTTACACGGAGCTGTCGGCAGGTCTGAGCCACCCACAGCAACCTTTTGGTTAGCAGCAGCCCAATGGGCACATGTTTTTTAAAATGAGCAGAAACTAACCACATACAAAATTGCATTATTTCCTCTACCTTTAGGGAACAAGAGTGACTATCCAATTAATTTATCATGAAATATTAATTCAGCTTTACTAAATATATGAGCAGATGGAGCTTCCATTTTAGCTAAGGTAAAGTCAGTGCCTGGTTTATGAACTGAGAAAAGGATGAATTCTGATCCTTCCCGAACTGGAGTTTTAACAATTTACTATATATGGGCAGGGGCACAGTGATGTACCTTTCAGAAGACCATATATGTAGTATGTGCAAAGCTTCTAAAAATCACTCCACAGTTTTCTGTCTAAAGCATTAGAACAGGTCATGGTGAAGGAAACTTGGTAAATATTTCTATTAAACATTAGACTAAACTGTAACTGAGCAATGATTAATATACTTCACTTATGTAAAGGGCTAAAAATGTTTACAGATTTCGAGAGAATGGTTATAGAAAGACATTTACTGAATTGAAAAGCCATATACACAGTGCTTAACTCTTATTTCAAAACAGGATTTGTGTTCATTACGAGGGATTATTATACTTTCACAGTGGTAGAGAAGTAAGAAAGCGAGGTGAGTAAACCCTATAATTATTACACATTCTCATCATTATCAAAAAGCATTTATTAAACATTGTTAGGCATAATTTTGTTGGCTGAGCCAAGTGGCTCTCAGTGTGATGCTGGCTGTGCCTGGTTTCTGTCTTCACAGCAAACAGCATGCTCCTGGAGACCCATTCTCAAGGGCTGGCCCCCTGCATTCTACCTCCTTCCACTATCATGGCCTTGAAGGAGCAGGATTTCCCATCCACCTGCCCACCCAACAGAAGACATAAGTTTCCTCCTTGGCATTCTCCTCCAGTTAGCAGAGTCAACAAAGATGGTAGAAAGAGCCTCTAAAGATAGAAAAGAGGAGGCAGTGCAACCTGTCCCTAGAGAGAACAGAGTATCCCACCACCCCAACAGCCCTGTTCCTGTGATATAAGATAGAAGGGAGTGCACGTGACGTGACGTGTGGGGCAGGGTAAGTGGCTCCCTAGAAAGTCTCTACATGGATTCCTTGTAAGACTCCTTGCCCCTGCACTCCCTCTGGCCAGCCTTTACTGTATGCGGGGCACATGGCTAGGCATTCCATGCTGGGTCCCTCCTCTCTGTACGTTTTAACCACACATTTGAGGAACGGTGAACAAAATAATGGTAGATAAACCTTCTGTGGTAGAGCACAGAGAAAGTAATGAAAAAGATTGACCTTTAAGTCCAGCTAGCTGTGAACTCGAGAGAGAAGAGAGTTGTTTCAGTTCATATTTTTTTCTGAGTGCTGATAAAATGATATCATTATTCGAGTGATATGTATTCATACCAGTACTTTATGACAGCAGAGGTGATGAAAAGGCTGGGTGGCCTGCCTGGCTCAAGGCACAGTTTTGACAACCTTTGCTCTTCCTTCCTCAGAGGGAGGGAGTGGAGCAGAAAGGTCTGGCCTGGGGTCAGGCAATCCAAGGTTCAATTCCAGCCCTCTCCTCTACAACCTTGATGAGGAGCATCCAGCCCATGTGAGCCTTGGTTTCTCATTTACAAAATAAGGAACATCCTATGTCACTGTGAGGATTAAATTGAAAAATAATAATAGCTTCAATTTATCGACTTTCTATGTGCCAAGCATTGGGCTAAAAGCAGTTTAAGTACATTATTTGTCAAGTTTAATTTCAGCCTATAGAGTGCTTAGAATGCAGGACAATCAATAAATGTCTAGTCCCTTCTTGTACTAAGAGAACGTTACACCACAGGCTTAACATGTGGTTATACATACACTTATGTATTTATTAGCATATTTCAACCACATTCCTAACTCTCTTACTTGGCCCAGCCTCCTCTCCACCCTCCATTCTCCACCCAGCAACCCACTCTCTTTGGTCCTGTCTGGGTGGTGGCAGAGGCCACACTGCTCACCAAGAGCCATCTATCCTTGACTTCAGATTTGAATAAACCCCCATGAAGAGCAGGATCCCTGGAGAGAGGGAGGGAGGGGCTCTGGTCACTCTCAGGACTGTCAGGGTGTTCCTGAAGGAAGTTCCCAGATGAGTTTGGAGGGTGTGGTACACTGAAGCCCGGATTCAGTAACATAAATAAAGAGAAGTGTGACCAAGATTATCAGATAGTCACCCTAAGGATGACCCAGCTGCAGGGGTGATAGGAGAGACAGCTGTGGCTGCTCAGTGGCTGGGAAGACACATCAGGCCCCCACGCCAGCGTGTCTCAGTGGGACACTGTCTGGGGGACGAGCTGACCAGCTAGCGAGACAGCCAGTAACTCGGGACTGGGTTTCGCTTGGGTGGGGTGTTCACCTTTCCCTTAACATTCTACCCTCTAAATTATATCCCACGCACAATTCAGGACACAGTTGTTTAAAAGGAGATGGGCTTCACAGCTAATTTGCTTTTTTGAAAGATCCCCCAATCTCCCATAGCCTTTGTATTTCCTAATCGCCTTTGAGCTTTAAGTTAGAAATTAAGACATTAAGAATAACATATTCTCCTTCCCACCTCTCCACTCCAGCTGTGAGCCTCCCTCGTGCCTAACCTGCATTTCTTTAGACAGTCAAAGCTTTCAGAGCACTTAGATACGCGTCATCAGAAATGTAGTTCTCACCCAGAAAGAATGAGGTCAGTTAGGGGTTGGGGCATGGACCAATGTTGTGAGAAGTCGTGGAAGAAAGTAATCAGAACCAAGATCCCTAAAGCACCCAAATCTCTTTAAATTCAACTCAAATTAAACTCTGTGGATCCTAATTAAAGATTTGGAATTCTCCTTCTTTACATAAAAGAAAGATTAAAGACTTTTAAGTAAGTAAGATTCAAGGTAAATTATGATTTCATGTACCTTTCCCTTAAGACTTTAAGACCTTTTACTAAGATTAATAAATGCCATTAATTAATCTGGCCTACTTAATTACACTTAATTTGCAAACAGACAACTCAAGGTAGAGAGCCTCCGGTTATTAAATATACTTAGTATATTAATGAACCACCAAGATCTTAAACTTGACCTTTTAAGTTTAATAATAACCAGTATAAAAGACAAAGTATAAATATATTTCTTGTTTATTATTAAAAGAGCTGAGAATCAGGTGGTTCAGTCCACGAGTTGAGCTGTTTGTTAACCCATAGGTCCTGGCAGCTCAAGTCTACTAGTGGCTCCTCCAAAGAAAAAGAACAATCTCCTTTCAGGCAATTAACAGCCTTGAAAACCCAACAGAGGTCAGCTATAAGTCTGTTCTGACTTGGCAGCAATGAGAATTGAGATGTTATATTACCTCTACAAAGAAGAGGAGGAAGAGGGGACGGAATAGCCGTGTATGTGTCAAGGGTAACCTACACTTTTTATTCTGTAAAATTCTGTTATTCAGATATGTACAAGGACATAGTTTTGTATGAGTTTTTTCCCGAGGGTTGCTTATTCAGACATAAAGGACAATATAACAATTTTAGAAGATTTCCTACCAAAACTCCAACCATTTCTTCCTATCAAGCCTCCCATCATTCAACAGTTGATCTTGTCCAGAAAAAAAAAAGAAAATCAGAAAATTTATATTATGGTCCAGTGTTATTATGATAGATACTTCTGGTCTCTAATCAACTGTGTCAACATTTATTAACAGTTTACCCACCTCTTGATATTTTCAGAACTGAAAATGTTTGGGTTTTTTTCCTTTATAAAAAGAAACATGTTACACGTTTGCCTGGGTTCACCCAAGGTAAAGAGAAGCATCATTAGAGGGTGGGAAAAGGCACTAACATGCATTAAGTTCCCATGCGCCAAGCACCAAGTTAGATGTCTAACTAGGATGTAATCATCTTGACAATTCAGTGAGGTAAGCATCATTATCTTCACTTTACAGGTGAGAGAACCAAAGTCCACAGGAGTCAAGACCCACAGTTCTTAGGTTACGGTACAGATCACGTCTGATCCTGGAGTTTGACCTCATAACCCATGCTCACCTCCTGAGCCACTTTTAACTTGCATTTGAGAAAATGCAGGGTTCTGGATTGGCAAGTGCCTTTGCAATGTGAGTTCAAATTCTAAAATATTAAACTTTTATCATCACTCCTAACATCTAAGACTCAGGTGCCAAATTCCTTACCTCTTCTGGCTCTGGCAAAAGCTTGAGAAACTCTTGCAACGTCTCTGATCCGTAGTGCTCATTGTTTCCCTGATGGATATCTTCTACAATGGACTGAGGAGACCTTGAAAAGACAATTAATTAGATCCCATTTCACGTTTGCTGGTGTGTCAATAGAGATACAAGCCAGCGGAAATGAAAACAAACCACTTGTACTCTCCTTCCCATACCACCTTCTTCCCAGCCTGATGGGCAGTTTAGGACTAATGCTCACAACAGCACCGTGGCCAGTGAAATAGGAGCTGCCGTGCACTCAGAGAAACTTCATGAAGAAAACCATCCTGGGATGTCCCAGAAAATCTGGGGCAACAATAACCACTGGGACTCCTCTTTAGGAAAACAATCCTCTTTAGGAAAACAATCCTCTTTGATCTCACCGGGACTTCTGCAGAGGCCTCCTCTTTCCATTTTAAAACACCTGAATTTAATAGCAGGAGTTTCAAGCACCAGGTTAAGTGTAACCTAAACTAACATAACTAGGGGCAACCTAAAGATGAATCTATAAATTCTCTGCTATGGCAGCTTTAGACAGACACCCCAGATGATCTCTTCGTATGTGGAGCTACTAAATTATGTTTTCAGAAAGTGATAGACGCTGCAGACCCACCAAGTCAATGCACCTAAGGATCCGTATATATGAGGAAGGACTGTCCCTCCGATCACAGTCTACATTTCAGAGCCCTCATCCCTACAGGAAGCTCATAGCAGGCACAGAACCAAATTTAAAATGTTTGCAAAAGTCTTACTTCTTAAACTGTTTAAGGAATATCCCAATGTTCATGTTCCGCTTTGCATCCAGGACAGTAATCTGGGGGGGAGGGGGGGAATACAGAGAAGACTGTTAAAGTACCAATAAAAAGAGCTAGAGGGAAGAAGCAAAAATCTATCAAAGTACAAAATTAATTTGCAATAAAATAACTTCTAATTTATAAATTTAGTGATAATGGATACATTTCATATAGTTTCATAACCATTAAAGTAAATTAAATATTATACCAAGCTTTCTTCTTAGCCTGCTATAATTATAGGTGTTTCAATATATGATTTTCTATCATACATATTGAGGTTTTCTCAATTTACCAATTTCTTCTTAGAATACCACAGTGACAGTACAAACTTAAAGCTGCTATGTGGAAGTAGACATCTTAGCCTAGAAAGAATCATGTAAGATTTTAACTATGCAAGCAAAAAATAACTCTTAAAGATACTGCACAATGAGTCCCAACCCCAGTGCAGAGATATAAAAGTGTATCTATTGTCATATTTAAAAATGCCATAGAATTTTCCATTTTTTTTAAACTCAAATTCTGCTCTTATTGAAAAAATAAATACATATCCAACAGCACTTTTAGCAAAAGGAAAGTCTTTTATATTTTATTTAATTGTTATGTGCTGTCAAGTCACTCGTGACTCACAGTGATCATCCTTGAATTCTGCTCTATCTTTAGCCGGGTTCATTGTCTCTGACACACCTACCCCCATTACTCCAGTCACTGAGTTAATCCATGTCATCCAATGTCTTCCTCTCTTTTGCTTTCCCTCCACTCTTTCAAGCATGATGTCACTTCTTACACCATGCCCAAAGTATGTCAGAGGGCGCTTCAAAATCCTTGACTCCCTCTCTAAGACAGACCTATTTGTTCTCTTGGCAGTCCGTGGTATATTCAAAACTCTTCTCCAGCACAACTCAAAGACATCAATTCTTCTTCTATCATCCTTAGTCATTGTCCAGCTCTCTGAAGCATTGCAAATAATTGTGAAGACCATGACCTGGATCAGGCACACCTTAGTCTCTAGACTGACATCGTTGCTCTTCAATGCTTTGGAGAGGTCCCTGACAACAGATTTTCCCAATGTATTTCATCTTTTGATTTCCTGGCTGCTGGCACCAAGAGTGTTGTGAATCTCTTCGCTATCTATCTTGATGCTGCAAATTGGGCCCATGGTTTTCTTAATGTTAAGCTTCAAGCCATATGAAATTATCCAAAAACGACTGAGATAACACATCAACAGAGATCTGATAGATGTGCAGACTGGGGTTAGAAAAGGCGGTGGCACTAGGGATATTATGGCCAATGTTAGATGAATCTTAGCTGACAGCTGAGAGTACCAGAGGAATGTCTATTTTATTTCCACTGAATTAAAAAAATAAAACCAAAACACAACTTCTGCTGTAATGTCTCACCAAATCGAAAAATGCATATTTTTCTTTACTTGAGCATCTCTACAAGTAGGGTGCGTTATAGTTTAATAAAATATGGCAGGCATTCTAGTATGCTATTATTGCTCAGGGCTGTCAAGTTGGAACCAACCCATATCTGATCCTCCAGTGAGTTTTCAGAGGCAGTAAATCACACAGGAGAATGCCCATCTTTTTCCCATGAAGCTGCTAGTGGATTCGAACCACGTGCCTTTGGGAATGCAGCACAACTTATAACTAGGTCACCCAAGGTTCTAATTCTTACGTTGTTATTGTACCACAGAGTTGGAACCAACCCAGAGCTGACCCTCCAGTGGCTTCTCAGCAGCAGTTAATCACACAGGAGGAGACTGCCCATCCTCCCACAGAGTAATTGGTGGCCTCGAACCGCATGCCTTTAGGATTGCAGCACAGCTTCCTGCCTCTAGGCCACCAGAGCTCCCTATTCTTATATAAGTTTTCCTTTTTATTGTGGTTTGGGTGTATGTTTAATGAGCAAATCAGTTTTCCATTCAGTAATTTATACAATTTTGTACCATAACATTAGATGTAATTCCCACTTCCTTCCTACAATAGTTTTTTACTGCTCAACATTAATCACAATCTGGAAGGGTTTATCAGACTAGGAATTATTCTGAACTTACTAATTTTTTTTTAATGCAAAAGCCTTTTATTTCTCTGGAAGTAAATATCCAGGATGTATGGAGGACAGATAGATAACGTTAAAATTGCTGCAATTTTTTCCATTTGTTTTTCAGTAAAGGCAGGCTAGCTAAAATAGGAATGTTGTTATAATGTCCTTCCTTTCCAAATGTATGTTATTCATTGTGAACAAAAGGGAATCGAGTTTCAGACCAAATTCTTGATCTCTGGGCCTGCTTCGAAGTTTATAAGCACGCTTAGAAGCAGCAGCAAGACTATTAGCCGATGTTAATGTCACTTCCTGGCTATAAAGTTAAATTTTTACAAGAGTATAGTTGCCTTCTTTTGAAGCTTAATCTTAAACCACCACATTATTTACTAACCCAGGGGTTCATTTCATGTTAACACAATCACCTGCCCGCCATAAAATAAACTTCTAAGCTAAAAAGACAGACTTATTAGAATCTTTCCCAAGGATCTTAGTTCAAGTTCAGTATGAAAAGCAGGAGGAGGAGGAGAGGAGGAAAAGAAAGGGTGAGAATAAATCTTGGCTAACTAACAAAAAAGAAGAATCTAAATGTATTAAAGTAAAACATTCCATGTTTATTTTCATTCATAAACTCAAGGCAACAAGTAAGAATGTACATATTGATACACACTCAAAGAACTTGCTCTGCACCCTCTTCAATCAGGAATGCAGGTCTACCTTCTTTGACATAGATCTCTTGAGGTACACACACATGCTGTATTGAATACAGTCAGTATCTGCTCTAATAAACATTTGGCTAGCGTACCTTCCAAACACATGCACTGGCTCCAAGTCCGTCTCACTCTCCTCACTCTCAATTCCCTGGGACTCCACACATTTGGCCTGGGTCACAATTATTGACATAAAAGTAATGGAGAAAATTACTCTTATTATTTCTATCTGATAGATAAGGAAACTGAACCTCAAAGGCATCCTTTTTTAAACTGCCTAAAGCAGGACCAGAGTTGAACTGCTAGCCTGGGTCTTTTTGATTCCTCCTGGTTCTACTTACTTCAAGCTTTCATATTGCTGAGATTCCTGCACCCAAAAAGCAAACTTAATGCCATCGCATCAGTTCCATCTCATTTCTGCAAATAAAAAATGGAAGAGATTTTCCATCTCATCCCAAAAAGGTGGATTTAAACCACTGGAGACAACAGCCTTGGGGCTTGGCCATGAAACAACTAGGTCACCAGAGTTCCCTCAAGATCTCTAAGACTTGGCAAATGTTTTTCCACTAGCTGTATTCACACCGGGATGTTGTTCTCGTAACTGAATTGTAGCAAGCCATTAGCAGTGCCAGGTTAAGTCCACTAGTGACCCTAGAGTTATGTCTGTGGGAAGATGACACAAATGATGATCCCACGAGGTAAGCCACGTACCAGGAGCCTAAGGACCTTCCCCAGCCCTTCCTGTAGCCTGCCTTGCTCAACAAAGAGGCAGTCATAGCCTGAAGAAACAGCCTGAACTGGGGCCTCAAAAGCCACTCACTAATTTAAAGAAATCAGTAATATCCTCTAAGGAAAAACCTGAGCTGGTGGTGATTGAGCACCTTACAAGGAAAACAAACCCAGGACCTTGTCCAAACAAAAGAAAGCGAGACAAGTGATAACTCGGGCCAGCCTCACTCTTTTCTGATATCCTGAGACCTACATGGTGCATTAAGAGCCTCTTTCTCACAGGTACCTTGATCCTTCCACAGCAGGATATAAAGGTGTTTGTTAAAGCCCTATAAAGAAGGCTGTCACTACACATGCTAATTAGCTTATCTTATTTCCCAAGTGTGTGCAGCCTCAAAGCTGAGCCACGGAGAAAGGAATCTGTGTGGGATGGGGTGGTGCTTTAGACTCAATCAGGGCAGTGGAATCTGCACGTGGGATCCCTGTGAGACTCCCTGGCTGCCCAAGCGTGGAAGTCACAGACACCTGGCCCAAAGGAGAGTCTGTCACCACTTCCAATCAATTCACAATCTCTTCTTCTGGACATCCCAGATCCTGTAGGCAGTGGGGTCAGTGTTCCAATAGGAAACATGGTCAGTGAACTAAAATTCATTGCTGTGGCATCGAAACAAACTCATAACTGACCCTCCATTGAGTTTCCAAAGCTGTAAATTGCAGGGGAAGAGACTGCCTATCCTTCTCCCTCAGAGATGCCCACGAATTTGAAAAGCCAGAGGCATGGCCTTTGGCTTAGCAGCACAACTCACAACAAACTATGACACCGGAGGCCCCAAGGAAGTAGATTGTGTTGTCACTGTGTACTGTGGAGTCAGAACCGACCCAAAGCTGGCCCTCGTGTGGCTATTCAGAGGCAATTAATCACAAAGGAGGAGATAGCCCATCCTTCTCCTGCGGAGCAGCTGGTGGCCTTGAACCGGAGCAGCTGGTGGCCTTGAACCCAGTGCCTTCAGGATTGCAGCACAACTTCTTGACACTAGGCCACCAGAGCTCCTGGAAGTAGATTAGAGTTCACTAATTTTTCATTCAAGCTGACGCCAATTCACAGGCACCCTGAGAGTGTAGAACAGTCCCATTGCACTTCTTGGGCTGTAATCTTAGGGAGCCCACCACAGGTCTTTTCTTCCAAAGTGGTAGGTAAGTCTGAAAAACCAACCTTTTTTTTTAAAAAAAAAAAAAGCCCTGTGTATAAACACAACACCTAAAAAAAACAGAGTGAGAACTCAAGATTGTCTCTCTTCACAGAAATCTTTAGTAAAAGGCAAAAGATTTATACGATCTGAAGAGAAACCTGAGTATAATCACCAACCTTTTCATTAACACTCAAGCTCTTAATCATTGCACCACCAGGGCTTCTTCCGTTACAAGCAAAAATTCTCCCACTAGAGAGTAAACCCGTTCTTGGTAAACAGAAGAGCTAAAATGTAACGTGTGCATTCATATCAATCCAAGGATTTCCCACTAGGATATGAAAGAGACCTGCCAGTGATGAAAGTCACTCCACAGGTGTCTGGTGGCTTAGTGGCTCTTGGAAGTACCAAGGCAGAAGAATGATGTTCCATAAGAGAGTGTACGAGTGGCTGCAAGTGCCAAACAAGTTTCTTCCCCTACCACGGCGCTCTTTCATCTAAATCAACCCAGCTCAAAATTTGTCAGGGACCTCTCCAGAGTACTTAAAAGCAACGATGTTAGTCTAGAGACTAAGGTGTGCCTAATCCAGGCCATGGTCTTCACAATTACTTGCTATGCATCAGAGAGCTGAATAATGACCAAAGATGACAGAAGAAGAATCAATGCCTTCTCCCTTCTTTTCTTCTAAGAAACAATTTTAATTATTTCCTATTTGATCATTGTACTATTGTTAGTGTCATAATGGTAAATGATTTAAAGTATTAACACTTTCTCAGTTCTGAACTTTTGATATTTCCTGAGACCTTGGTTCAATCCTGTCTGGTCCTAAGCACCATGTCTGTTTTTCTTTGCAGGATAACACAAGGCCAACGCAAGACCCTCATGCTTAAGGATGGGTAAAAAGATACATACAAACCAACTAGCATGAGTTCCTGAGGACGAGAACACTAGCCACAGGGGGCTGGAGGGGATGAGACCAGCGCACACTGAAAAGGTGGCAAATCTCAGCGGAACGATTTTTGTCTTACTTTGTTTTTCTTTCTCAATATTATATCTTTGATATTTCTAATTGCTTTATTTTTGTAATTTTTACTACTTATAATTATAGTTTCCTTATAGTAACTTTTAAGTAACAAGGATATAAAGATAGCATTTTATAGCCTTTTTGTTTTCCTTATTCATTTCTCTGATTTGCTGTTTAAGGACTGCTCCTTCTCAGCTGAGCCATTCCCAAGCCTAAATCTCTCCCCTCTTCTACCAGCTCCTTCTGGGGTACAATGGAACTTATTTTTAATACACTGTCGGCTCTTTAAAGTAGAGCCCAACCACATAATGGGAGGCCATCTCTATAGGAGGTTATTATATTTTAAAGGGATATAATCTAATCCTCAGCACGGCTGAACGTTCAGAATTATGGGCCATGTTGTAATGTGTTGATGTCACATTTCCAGGCACCTGATCTGCTCCTTTGCTGAACACACTGTTCAAGACATTCTCCAGGCCACAGAGTCAGAGGGTGAGGACTGCAACTTTCAACCTTGGACTCCACTTACTACAGAGTGAGCTAGAATATTTATTACTGAGTCTATAACTCGACTGAGTAAGCACTTCTTTAGAAGAAAAGCCAATGAAAAAATGAGTATATACTATTTTACTGACAAAAAAGATGTTCAATACATCTGTTCATTTTGGACATGGGAGAAATTAAAAATAATTCTGGAAAACCCGTTATGTGACAATACCACTTAAATCTATGTACCTAAAATCTCACTGTAACCTGAATATTAACAACTTGATGAGTTAGATTAGTTACACACTCATGGTTTTTACTGTGTATGTCCAGTATACTCTCTCTCTCTCTGTGTCTCTCTCTCTGTCTCTGATCAAGACCTGTAACTGACAAACATAAAGCAGAAAATTCTCAGCAGGACCTTTAACCATCGTTTGGTAAAATTAAATGTCCACACTTCATAAAAGGGTGCTCCCCATTCATATGTGGTCAGCTGTCTCCCCAGGGGCACATCTCTTCCAGGTGCTCATCCTGAGATATCTTTCCTTCAACAGAGTTCATTTCAATGTGTAGAAGATAATGATTCAAAACGACCTACTGTACAGTAAAAACCTCTGCTGGAAGCTAGGGCAAAGGTCAGGGTACAAAGGAAGTACTTTATTGTTCCTTCCAATACTTGAAGGGTTGGGGGGGAAGAGGGTTTTGCCAAAAAGAAAAAGCCTGAGTTCAGCACTGGAGGGCACGAAGGTTTTCCTCTGCAGAGTTCCTTCTGAAATGCATTCCCTAGTTCACACTTAAGCAATTCTAACTCTCAGTGTTCTCTGCATTTTATTTTCAAAATTAATATTCTATTTTATCTTCGGAGAAAGCCCAGCTCCCATTCTATAACAGTTTCTAGGCACAGTGATGTTGGTAACATTTTTCACACTGTGTCAACATTTTCTTATTTCTTCTATTCTAGCTGTTTTACTTCCAACTAATTAAAATCCATGTCCTACAACTTTCTCTGCACTTGACAATAAGCAAACCCTCACCATTTCAACAGTGGATCACACAGGCAGCTTTAAGGGCCCCAGTGAATGGATGGAGAGAGGGAGTTAACACGTTCCTCAGCCCCAGAGAGAAAGGAGGTTAATATTGTTGGCTAAAGCATTCAATAATGCATGTATAGAGCTACTGCTTCACTCCAGGGCCCGGCCCATTCCCTTATCTAGTCAACTCTATCTTTGACCTATTTTTCTCTCCTCCTTTGCAGCAGATTAAAAAAATCATGGATTTCTGTTGTTGCGCTTGTGTACGTGTGCGTGTGTGCCTGCACACAACCTCATGTCTTTTTATTTTCTGGCTTTTCTAACCATTTCTTTTACTAAGTAGAGATTTGGGGTTTTTTTTGTTCTTTTTATAATATGATGGCATTGAGAATGGGAGTTGTATTAAGAGTAATTAAAAGTGCAATTTTTTAAAAAAGTGCCATTTTATAATATTCTATTAGTTTCTGTGATATATATGATGGCTTGTAGCACTGAGGTCTGGCTTTCCATTGACACCTTATAAATTACTAGTTTTCTCTTTCCTTGAAGTAATTAATACATTTAGTGTTAACTGGGAAACACGCTTCCTCTACACAGCTATCAGAAACTAAAGTCAGGTTTTGACTCTGTTATTCCCTGTGCCACCATGGCCATAATTTGTTCAGAGACCCGAAGAATGAAGCCCATCTCATAAACTTGCTGAAGGAAATATGGAGGGGAAAATAAGAGTAAAACCCACAGGATGACTATCCAGCTAATCCTCGATAGCCACTACTCTGATTCAGAAATTTAGATTATTTTTCCCCCCTTTAAAGAGACATTAAGGAAACCACACAGATGTGCTAGAGCTCTGAAGGGGCTGAGAGGCCCAAGAGCCACGGCCCTCAAGTAGCATGTTCTCCACATGAGGTCATAATCCACAGGGATGTCTGGGAGAATGCAACATGGAAGTTCTTTCCTCCTTCCCCCCCCCCTTGAAAGACTGTTTTCATTGTCCCATTGCCACAATGTTTGTCAAAGCCAGTTCTGATTAACCTCCTTTGTCAGTGTGTCCTTCGCCATTCCCTATCACTCCTCCCTGAGAGAGACTTCACCCTGATTCATACGGAAAAGAGGACGGCGTATTCTCTTAGCTACTTCCTGCTGAAAAGGGACACTGTAGGTTTCAGGGTGAAGAGGGAAGGATTTTGAACCTCTGTCTGACATACTTTGGAGAAGGACATCATGCTTGGAAAGGTGGAGGGACAATCAAGAGAGGAAGATCCTGCATGAGAGTGATTGACACAGTAACTGGGGTCATGGTGCTAGGTGTGTCAGAGATGGTGAGACTGGCTCAGAATAGGGCAAGACTCATGGCACATAATAACAACAGTCTCAACATAGGCTGAGTCCTTGTCAGAATGAATGAACAACAGGAAAGGCGACGGAACAGGAGTGAAGCTGAAAGTAAAGACAGGTTTATTAGAAAAGATATGTCAGAGAGAGCGAGAGAGCGTGAGCACACGAAGAGAAGAGAAGAGAAGAGAAGAGA